ATTCCTGGCTGAGCACATTAAATAAAAATCCTCCATGGATAAGGGAATGCAAAGTCCAACGATGCAAATTATTGGCTGTAAAAGCCGAAGCTAGGAAAGGAATCTTGCCAAATAAACTCAAACCCATTTTTGAGGGACCAGAGGAAGAGGTGCTTCCACCTCCACCCTATGCTCCACATCGAAGGGAGCCTAATTCGAACCCTCCACCAGTTGTAACCCCAAGGCAAGAAAGTGGAATGAATAATGGGGGTAGAGTCACAGAACTTGATTCCTTGATAGATTATGATAAATATCTTCAGGAGGCATTGGAGTCCTATAATGAAGCCCAAGCAGAAGTGGTTATTCCATCTGTGAGTCCCAGTAGAACTCCATCTACAGTCTCTTTTAGTGGAACAACTGATTGCCTACCCCAAACCCCTGTACATCTATTATTACAGAAGTTACAGGGAGACCCTAATCGGTCAGCAAACAATACAGCCAGGCGTATAGAGCTGCTAAAAGAACGCCTTGGGACAAATACCATCCCCTATGATTTGAGGCCCCTAGAGCAAAGCGAAGAAAAAGGTCATGTAGTAGCCCCTCTTAGAAGAGTATTTGATGCACTTGAGGAGCCTGTGCTGGTTAATGGGCAACCTGGACCAAGGCCACCTCGAACTTCGGTCCTCCAGTACATTCCATTCACGACTACAGTCTGATGAATTGGAAAACACCCCATCTTTCGCAGAAAAACCTCAGGCTATGATGGACTTGGTGACTTCAATAGTAATAGTCCTACTTGGACAGGTTGTCGCCAGCTCCTGAATACTCTCTTCACCACTGAGGAAAGGAGAGACATAATTGAAAAGGCACAGATATATTTGCGTGAGCAGGCCAGAGTGGGAAATAATTTTAATATCTCCAAGACAACTTTCCCTTGGAAGATCCTAATTGGGATCCAAACAATGCAATTCACCTGGCCAGGCTTACCACCTACCGCCAGATGCTTGTGCAAGGTATCTGCAGGGCATGCCAGAAGCCCACTAATATGTCTAAAGTTTCAGGAGGGTAGATGTGTTACCCATAGCACTGTTTCGTGTTCGGTGCGCACCCACAAAAAGACTTAAGTTGTCACCTTTTGAGCTCCTGTATGGGAGGCCGCCCTCCTTTGTTCAGGATATTCCAACTGACCTCAAACAAATAGGAGACCATGCAACACAGGGACAAGTGCAATCTCTCTCCCGTGTTTTTGTCTCTCTCCCGTGTTTGTTTGTTGTTGTTGTTTTTATCTTAACAGGTGGGCCCTCGAGCACACGCCGTGCAGCATTGCCTGCCGATTCATCAGCTCCAGGCTGGCATAGCATATGGGTGAAAGAGTGGAAACGTGATCCACTTGCACCTAAGTGGCGTGGACCTTACACCGTCTTGCTCTCTACTCTAACAGCGGTGAAGGTAGCTGAGGTGACCCCCTGGATTCATCACTCCCGTTTGAAGAAGTCCGAAGGCAGTTGGACGTGCAAAGGTGACCCCTCTAATCCTCTTAAACTGACTCTCTCCAAAAACCCCTGTATCTAGCCCTACCGGGAACGGCTAGGTCACGGGCAACATTAGACGACCGGCCTGCTGCAGCCACAACTTGGAAGCTGGCTGACCTGCGCACGCCTGAAGCTTGAGGAGCGTCTGAACCAGAGACTGTGAGCGGGAAGATTCTCTTATACAATTGATTGACTGCCCCCTTGTGGAACAATTATCAGAGATATTACACATTGGGGATTCTTGGGATATATGTTTTGGTCTTGGTGGTTCCCCATTTCTGTCACTGGGGGAATTATATTGGGGCTAATAGTTTTATGCTATCACAATAAGGTAATCTTTTGTGGAAGGAATGCATATGCTAGACATCAACGTGATTTTATTATTAATCCTGATCCCTTGGGAAGGGGAGGGTCCTTGAATCTGACCAAATTGACTAAATATGGATTCAGCCATGACCACAATATGTGGGTATGGTAGCCAATGTGGCAAATAGGACCAATTACCTGTTTGCTCTCTTGGGCCAGATGATTCAGAGGGAGGTATGCCCTTATTACCGATACCATTAGATGCCATTGGTATGGTAAGCGAAATGCCACACCAAACAGAAGTACAGAATTTCCCCGGATGGAACTCAACTAAATCATTATGAGTTATACCTGTACAAGGGGAATTCTGTGTACATAAATCATCAGATGCAGCTGATTCTCCCATGGTAGGCTCTTCTCATTGCCACTATACTTGGGATTATATTAAGAATACCTGGGCACACGGTACTACCTATCGAACTCGGAATGCCTTGCCCTGTGCACCTCCTTTTATTCATGCATGGAAAGTGGTATGGAACATAACTGTGACAGAAAAAGGCAATCTAACATACTGCACTGTGAACTCTATACCCCTTTTGATATTTTGCCTTATGCACTCCACATACCAAAAACCTCAGACCCGATGGTTGTGGTGGATATGTGGAGAATGGGCATACAAGAAACTCCCCTCCAAATGGAGTGGGACTTGTTTCCTGGGATGGGTATTACCACCAATGTGGATTTGCCCACTAGTTCAGCCAAGCGAACACGAAGAAATGCTGATATTTCTCGTATAGCAGGAGGAAGTACCCAAAGTTGGAGCGGTACTGATGATTGGCCGCCAGAGCGCATAATAAGCCTATTATGATCCTGCCTCCTGGAATCCTGGTGAGCTCATACAAGGGGCATGGGATCCTATTTATAATCTAAACAGAATAATTCGATTACAAGCAGTAGTGGAACTTGTAACCAATGCAACGGCCCAGAGTTTGAGACTTATTGCACGACAGTTGGATGACTTGCCAGGCAGGGAGGCCTGTGTGGAGTCTTGAACTTGACAGGGAATGCCTGTTGCTTTAACATTTCAGATAATGGTTTTATGTATGGTGCCATGTATCATCTCATGTTTTAGGAATACAATTAGCCAGATGATTTCAAATGAAACTTTACCTCATATCATGGCACTATATAGAGCCTTACCTCAGGAATGTGGCATGTAAGATCAAGCTATCAAGGACGCTTGGTAGCCAGGTCCTTGAGCTTGAAAGGGGGGAATGTGGCATCTGAATATAGACTGCATTTTTAATCAAGACTTATATTGGCTTATATTTGATCAGGTTCCTAAATTAAATGGGCTTAGATTTTCAAAAGTTTCATGCCAGGCAGAGAAAACCTTGGCCATTCTCCTAAGACAAGGGGCCCCCTGGTTTATTGCGGTCATAGAAAGGCTGAGAAGCAGGTCACTGACCTTGCATGCTGTAGAGTACAACTAAGTTGTAAAAATGGTAGGTAAACAGTAAAATAAAACCATGTGCCTTAAACTTGAGTCACAGGACAAAAGGTCAAGAGCACTTGGAAGAGAAAGCAACTGGCTGAAGAAGGGGGGGAAGTATGAACAGGGAAGAGGCTTCTTTTAAAACGGTTTTTTACTGTGTTCCTTTTTACTGAGTTATTCTTTTAAAGAAGCTACCTGTGTTGTGTATTAAATATGCTGGCTTAAATGTAACTATGCAAAGGATTTAGGAAGTAACAAATTTAGATGTTAGATTCTTATTTCATAGAATCATAGAGTCCTAGAGTTGGAATAGACCACAGGGGCCATTGAGTCCAGCCCCCTGCCAGACAAGAAGACGCCATCCGAGCAATTCTGATATATAAGTTGTCAGATATTTGTTTAGAAACCTTCAAATGAAGGAGATCTTTCAATATTGATGTGAAACTCAAGATCCTTGACATATGTTTAAGATAAAAATTTAAGATTAACCATTTGTTTTAGAAGGCAATAGGGCAAGAGGTGAGCTGGTAATTAAGATTCCATGTAAGATATATTATTACTTATTTGTCATTTATATATAGCTCTTTGTCTCCCTTATAAGGACAGGAGGATATGAGTGTATTTTTGTGATTGGTTATACTAATCAGCCAATAGGAATTTCAACCAGGCTGATGGGACAGAGGCAGCCCAAGGAGGAGCAAAGGGGGCTGGATTAAGGGAATATAAGTGCTGGCCATAATGGCAGGAGGCAGGCCAGAGCTTGGTAATCATATACCACTGTGCCTCTCATTTATTTGTCTGACAAATAAATTATTATTTAATTTCTCTGTTGCTGCGTTGAATATTTCATTCCAGCTAAGCGTTAACCACAAGCAGGGTGCTACAGTAATAGTTCACCATCTTTTTAGAATGCTCTTTCCAGAAAGGCACACCAGATGACAATTTATCATTTTACCACCAGGGTATATCATTTTTATTCTTTGACATATGGGCAGCTTTAATTATATTGTTGCAGTTGCTCAATCTGGACTTTAGTGCTGCTGTGCTAATGCCATGTGTTTTAATGTTTAGAAAAATAGAAAATATTTATTGTAAATAGTTTTGAGACTTCGTATAAAACATCATTCAATAATTGTAGGTGGTTGGTTATTATAACCATCATATGCAGCTATGAAGACAGAGACTGTATTAGAATTAGCTTTACTAGGAAATCCACACTTTAAAATATACAGGCTTCCCAAATTAATTTCTTTCAAAATCTGCCAATCCAATGTTCAGAACAGCTTTTACAGAAATGGAGAAATATGGTTGAATATGTTTACTTAGAAATGGAAAAGCAAAAATTGCTAGGAAGATGAATCACAGTATGGAAAGAAGGCTGGAATATTGCATCGGATGGTGCTGTGGTTTAAAGCGGCAAGTTAAGTATTTTAGGCCTCTGCTTGATTATTTTCTTCATTCTCAGACTTTTTTAGTTAATCTGTCATAAGCAAATTGGAAAGCCTCATCACCACAGTCATATGCTGGAGGCAGCAGTGTTACTCTGCAATTACTCTGGCAGATGATGTTCTTGCCCTTATTCTGAAAAAAGGTCTAGAGCTGTGCTTTCCCTCTACTGTGCCACTTTCTATGTTCCTCCTCTTCAAGATTGTTATTAGTTTAAATACTGCTTAATGCTCTTAAAATAGGTTTCTAAGTGGTTTAAGATAAGAGGATAAGAGAAACCTGGTAAACAGAAAGCAGCTTTTACAATGGCAGAAGTAGTAAGAAGATACCACTACCCTTTCTGAACTCTGGCTCTCTTAAAGCATTCATTTGAATTTAACAAAAAAAAAATCCTTCCAGTAGCACCTTAAAGACCAACTAAGTTCTTGGTATGAGCTTTCGTGTGCATGCACACTTATCTGAAGAAGTGTGCATGCACACGAAAGCTCATACCAAGAACTAACTTAGTTGGTCTTTAAGGTGCTACTGGAAGGAATTTTTTTTGGTTTTGACTATGGCAGACCAACACGGCTACCTATCTGTAACTTGAATTTAACAGTTACTGAAGATCTTGTCTACACTGGCTATGCCACAGAAGATAGTGATTCTTACTATAGTTGCTGGGGGGAAGGAAGACTTCTAAACAATTAGAAAAGTGGTTTGGGATTTCAGGTGTTTTGTCTTAAATCTCACTGTTGCTTTTGGCAAATAAAACATCTCATATCTGAGTCCCATAACCTTAGTACAGAGGATAGACAAGACATACCATAAAGAGCTCGAACAATTTTTCTCCCATGGCGCTTCGGGTTTGATTCTCCACCACTATGAACATCTTTACAAAATGCTGCAGGGGAACACAATTTAATCCATTGGGGAAATAAGAATAATTCTTGGGTTGTATTCAACTCTGCTTTTCTGTTTGTGCAGCAGACTTCTGCTTGAGTTAACATAACTTCTCCCTCCTCTCCAGCCCATGATGCATCTTTAAACTCTCCAGACTCCAGAGGGTTGGGTATACTCTGGAGCAAATTTTGAATGCAGAGAGGTGATGAAACAGGACTCCATTGCACAAGTGAAACTTAGCTTGTACAGTCAAACTCCGGTTGTTGAACATTTGACTTCCGAAATGTCTGACAATCAATGTGCGGCTTCCGATTGGTTGCAGGAGCATTCTGCACTCAAGCGGAAGCTGCGTTGGATGTTTGGCTTCTGAAAAACGTTCGAAAACCGGAGCATTTACTTCTGGGTTTTCAGTGTTCGGTAGCCAAAACATTCCCAAACGAGGCGTTCAGGATCCGATGTTTGACTGTATAATGTTGGATGCAGCCCTTTGTAAGCTACATGTAATGGTTCTAGGGGTTGCTCGTGCGTAAGCCTGCCCCAACACCTGGCTGGGTTGCCTGAGTGAACCTTTCCTGTCCGGACAGCCACGCACCTGTGGCTGCCTCAATCGCTGGCAGAATCCGTCAGTGGGCGTTTCTTAAACTTCTTCCAGCAAAGAAGCTCTTTGACACCCAGTCTCCTCCTACTCTCCCTGCGCGGAAGCCTTCTGCGCAAGGAGGGTGTAGGCAGCGGAGGACCCTTCCTCTCCCCGCTGGTCCCCGGCAAGGAGTCATGGGACCGCCTCGCCGATTCCCCCATCTGCCCCCCTTCTCCACTGGAGCTACGCTGATTCCCTTCCCCAGAAGATGGGCTGCCTCTCCCACTCCCGGGACACTCTCTGGGATCCCCTTGGAGCTTGCGCTCTCCCTCCGGCACTGATGTCAGTTCCCTGACACTACAGGAGTATAAAACTCTGCAATCTAATATTTACTATCCAGGTTTTATTAGTATTTATTGTTCTGGTTTTCATCACTCAGAATCTTTAGTGGGGGTCTGCTGTTATCCCTTTCCAAAGCTCTAGCCTCAACCATAATTTCCCAGCACAATTGAGACTTTAAAAGTTCTCTAGTGGTATTAATTTATTAATTACCCGCCCTTCACCCTAAGATCCCAGGGCATTAAAATACATTAGAAACAGTTTTTAAACACTTCTGTATATTTTGGCTTAAATATACAGGCAGTTTCTGCTCCCATGTTTCCAACATCTACAAGCCATGCATGTTAAATTCTAAGAAAGCCTTACTTACTCCTGTCATAGTCTGATCTTTGTATTCTTTAGCGCTTAATCCACTGACTAACGTTTTATCTCATCCAATCCATCCATTTCACCCACCGAAACAACCCCTTCAGTTAGAGAGCTTTGAAAAAGTGACAATAGACATCTACGCCCAGTTCCCTCCTTTTCAACAAAGTCACTTGCCTCTAGGGTAATGCTGGCCTGCCTCTGGCAGTTAGTGTGATCTTTGTTGCCCATGGCACACATGAGACCATGCACCACTCTCAAGAAGACCAGCTCCTCAGCCACATCTCTGGAGTCTTGGGCCAGAATTCTGCAAAGTTGAGTGTTTGAAGAGTGGGATAAAAATGTTTTCAATAAACAGACAAGAGAGGGGGAAGGGGGTTTAAGAGCAGAGGGAGCATCCCACTAATTTACAAGCTAGAGAGATCTAGGTTGTTCTGTGCCCTTTACCAGCTGGTTGACAGTGAGACATCCAATAATAATAGGAGACATCCAACAGGTTCAGCTGGATTTCTGCAACAGTTGTTAAAGGCACACGCTGCCAAGAAAATAAGCTGACTGGGCAAATCTGTTGTACTGAATGAGTTGTTATGGTGCTAAGCCTAGTAAGGTGGATGGTGACATGAATTTGGCTAAGCAGCAAATACTTTGTCTAGTGCTGAAGATGATAACCCTAAAATGATTAGAGAGGAGCTGTATATTCAGAGGATATTTTATGTATAGCTCCATTGATAACCTGACTATTCTAGCTCATGTTATAAACACTGAAAGGTAAGAGGATAGTGGCTGGATTATATAGGTATTCTAGTTCTGAATGTGTTTTAAGGGACTGGATGTGATGCTGGCTGTCTAATGTTGCATCAAGAAGCAGAAGGCATGGATTCAACTTCAATCATTGAAAGCCATTTTGTAGTAATGTTTGGATGGGGGTGGGGAGGGTTTCAAATATATATGCTTGGTTACTTGCTGGCCTTGGGCAATGCAAGTCACTCTTAGCCAGTGTGCTATGTTAAGAGACTAAAATTGCTACTTTGAGGTTCTTGGAACAAAATGCAGCAAGTAGATATCATAGTATGATTAAAACATATAGCTAACACCATCAATTAAAAATATATATAAAAAGTGCCCTACTGCCTCCATCTGAGTAGCAGGTGAAGTGGGTGTATATAATTTGCCAGTCTGGACTGTGGACTAGTGGCTGTTATCACACAGTAAGTGAGGTGTTTTCTAGTTTGCATCTGTGGCCTACCCAAAACTGGGCTAAGAGTGTTTCACAGTTTGCCTCTGTGTTGGCAACTGGTTCCAGTAACCCATCATAATCTCTTACCCAATGGCTTTGGCAGCAGCAGCTTGCTGAATATATGCTGGCAAGGACTCCATCAGGTGTAATGTACCAGCTTCTGTATGTAGGAAACAATGTAGGAGTCAGGTACTGTGTCTCATAACTGCCCCAAATCTTTGCTTTTGACCTAAAACACTGTCCAGAAAGAACTGAATTCCAAAGAAAAGCCATTCAGTACCTATCCAGCAGCACAGTTTAAATTAGGCTAGCACCAGCTAATTGCTGTTTCACACACCATGCAGAAATTTGATTCCTTGATGGTAAGCAGGGAATGTTGGTTTGGGTCTGCTTTGAAAGATGTCAATGTTTGCCTGCAGCCCTCCCTGCTCCACTTTCTCAGACTGGTGATTGAGATGAATTTCTGTTCTATCACAATGGGTTCTCATTCCATACCCCTACAGGCCCGCTCTGAGCAAACTTGGAACTTGATAGAGGTTTTTAGGTATGAATGAGGAAAGAGCTTGGGCCCCATGATAAAAGAAAAGGAACAGAGGATGGACTTAAAATATATGCCTTCCCTTCTCAACACATGAAGAATATTAATGCTACAGTAAGTGTGTGTTCACATTACTGCCTTAGAGAGCAGTGAAGTTGTTTTTTCAGTGCATTTCATAGCTCTTGCACCCCAAGCTGTTTACATACAGTAGTATGAAGTACAGTAAACATATGCATTTTGGCTAACATCTTGTGAACACAAAAACCGGAAATGTAGTGAGTGCACAGTATACGAGAATGTGAACACAGCCTTAGACTAATATACTCTAGAGATAGGGAAGGAGATGTAGAAGTGGGGAACGTCTTCATAAGTGGGTCCAAATGGCAGCATTTGTGGATCTCACCTTCCAGGATTCTGGCTTGCATTTTGGCAGTCTCCTGTCTTGATGGCTTTAGCAATGCAACCAGTCCTTTTAGCAAAGCTGGCCGCACATCATATGCCATTAGGTCCTTAATTAGTTGAATCGCTAGAAGAAGGAAGATACTAAAGTGGGTGCTTTGTCACAGAGTAATAGTAGTAAGGTAGCTCCTGTTTTCTTGGGGAATAATTTGCCTACACAGAGCCTAAAAGGTGGTTCAACTATGTCCAGTCTTTGTTAATCATTTGTTCCAGTGTGTTTACCAGTTAATCATTTGTTAATCATTTGTTCCAGTGTGTTTACCAGTTACTGGGAATCATAGGCGGGGAGAGCACAGGTCCTGCTTTTGGGCTTTCCATAGGCTGCTGGCTGCCACTGAGAATGGGATACTGGACTAGATGGGCCACTGGCCTTATCCAGCAGCTCCTTCTTACGTTTATATGGCAGTTATAGGACAAAGAACACTCAACTTTTTTCAAGTGGGTTTGTTAATGCACTAGGCAATATAGCACAGTTAATTGTGCAGTTCTCATGTTCCTAAAGACTTCAATCCCTCCGTAAAGGCACTGTCTGTTGGTTCTTTCATAAAACGTGTAGACTAGTTTTTTAAAAAATTGGTAGCACTAACTACACAGCTTAACTGTATGGAATAAAGGCCAGTGAGTCACCTGCTTTGAAGACATGTTGTTTATGCTACTTGGGAATTTGTAAGTTATCTGTTTTGAAGCAAATATAGCATTAAAAAAGAAAATTGTGGTAGCTACCATGCAAATTAGAACACACACTGGATTCACCCAGCTTTGGCACCAGCCAAAGACCAGTATGCCTTGTAAGTAGGCTACCTTGTGCCGTACCTTACATAAAATTTGCTTTTTCATGAATGCGTTAGTTACTAGGGTTCTTCCCTTCCTATAGACATTTGGCTCATTGGTGCATTGTTTTAAAACTGATTTTCAATTTCAGTATGTGGTAGTCACCTGGACTCAACGATTTGAGGGTTGGCTTCAAAAGTGGAGGTGAGTGCATAGAGTCATCTTACCCTCATATTGCACCTCCAGGTGCAGAGAACGGAGCACACTAAGCACTGAGTCCACAATACTTGGATGGGCATCTCCCACAATTGTCTGCCAAAGTAAAGGAGCAAGAGAAGAATATTTGAGATCCCGTCTTAGTATGCTCTAATACAGAACAAGCATGAAAAATATAGGTCACAATCAAGAGATCACAAGGAAGAGCTGGGCTACCCAAATCCTCAGCATGATCAAGCAGACAAAAGATTATATTTTGACCTGGTGATGAAAATCCCTTTTAGGAGCACGTCAGACGATATTTTAGCATATACATTAAACACTCTGAGGGGAGACAATTCATTTTGTAAGAATGTAAAAGGAAGATTGCTGTAACTGATTGAAGTTCCCTGATGCAAATTAAAGCTGTGCTGATATAAACAACTTGGGGTGCAAGAACTGTAAAATGAACAACAAAAAAACAACTTCTCTAATGCAGTAATGTGAACTCACCCAGGTGAGATCAGACAACATGCTGCAATGAACCATAAAGATGCAAGGGCAGTATTTAGGGAGACCACTCTTCATGAATCTGTTATACCAATCAGTTTTATAAGTGCATTAATTAGAAATAATCATTAGCTAGAATGGTTAAGGGAGGTGTCAATAAGTTCTATGTATCCCTAAATTTCTAGATCTAGCCATAATTGGGGTGGTGTGTTCTACAGCTGACAGTTCTTAGCTAAAAAAACCACCTATTTTCAGGGGTACTATTTCAGATTTTAGACATGGGGGCAGAATAGGTTTTCAGTAATTTTTTAAAAGAAACTCCCTTTAAACCTATTTAAATACAATTACAAACATTGTATTCTAAGGCAATGTATTTGGGTTACTTATATCTCCATTACTTATAGTTCAATTATCAAACTCAGGTCAGATCTGTTAGCCTTTCTTGCCTAATATAGTTGGTTCCTTTGGCATGGTATTTGGCACTTAGATCCATTTAACTGTTAATAGCAATATATATGTGCAGTTTGTAGACCCTGCACTGGCTAGAAACACAGATGCCCCTGAGGAAAAAATGCATGTTGTCTGTAACAGATGATGGGAAGTTCCATATAGTGGATGAAACAAAGATTGCAACCCCATGCCTCCTTCCCCCCCTCCATCTTGTTGTTGCTCACCTGTATTGTCCTCAATGTTTGTAGGGACAGTTGCTGGGCTTTTGGAGAGGTGCACTTTAGAAGAGCAATCAGCCCTTTGTACACTTGATTCTGGTATTTGGGGTTGCCATGGCCTAAAGCATCCAGAAGAATCTGTACTTGCTCTTGAGTCTCTTCTGACTTGCAGGTGGCAAAAAACTCAGCAATTGATCGTACACCTATAAAGGAAAAAAGCTTTCTGAACACGTAGGCTAGAAAGTGTCAGCTAAGCAGCCCCATGTTTTAGCTTGTATTTAAATAATACGGAAGTTTTAATACAAGTATTTTGTAAGTAACAAAGGACACCCTTATTATACATTGATAAATATGCAGAGTACCATTGGCAGGCAATCACTCTAATAGTGAACATGATTGTAACCAATTGCTATTTGCAATTCTTAAAATGTGTGTGATTTATGTAAAGACACACTTAACATCACATCTATTTAATCACTAAATGGGTTTCTCAAATGATATCATGTATGGAAAATTTTGGATCAATGTACAGGGCTATCTTCAAGTAAATCTTGTTTTCCATATACCTTCAGAGTCTACAACTGAAAGCAAAGTGGAGTGAAGCCATTGCACCTCACACTACCTAAAATATGCAATGATTTTCAGACTTTGAGTTTTCAAGGATTTGCCCATTTATGTAAAAATTCTGTAGACTTTAGGGCAAATGAATAAATAAATAATAAATAGCCTCCTTATTCAGTTGATTTAATCCCTGTTTCAATCAGTCCTTGTTTTTGAAATTGTGCTGGTCTAAGGTTACAATTGTTAAACATGCACTTTGTATTCTTGGGAGTAAGCCAAATTGGACTCAGTGGGATTCACTTCTGGGTAAACACAAGACTGTGTGTGTGTGTGTGTGTGTGTGAGAGAGAGTGAGAGAGAGAGCCTCTCTCTTACATATGGCTTGCAGCAAGTAGGAAGTGGGAGCTTAGGGGACAGGAGTATTAAGGTTTAGGGGGAAAGCCACTGTAAGCTGCTTTGAGCCAGTGGGATAATGCAGAATATAAATCCAATCTAATCAATATAGTTCAAGCTCACACAACTCGTTATGGGCAGCAATGACTGGCTCTGAATTTGGATGCAGCTTCAGATTTGCATGAAAAGCCATATTCAACCAGTTAAATGAGGTTCATTGAGCACTCCTATGTGAATGCACATCCAGATGCAAAATCTGCATCCCCATTTACAGTGTACTTTTCACATATAGCTTTCCGTTGCTGGACTGGGATGGACATATATCACACTCATCCATTTCAGTGGAGCAATGCAGTAAACAAGCATCCACTGTGACTTTATAGTAGATACTAAAAAAGTTTATATTCCCTCCCAGCTGAATTTATTTGCGTTTAACTCCCCATACACTAATTTTTAATACTGTAGTTAAAACACTTCATCCTACTCTACCCAAGAAAGGAAACTTTACAGAGTTATTAATATGCTGATGTTTCAGAGATCTATTCGTCTTCTACAGGTAGAAATATCCTGGCTGCTATATACTGCAATGAAAGGAAAACACTACAAAGTAAGATCCTTGTGAGAATCAAATGTTTCCATGCCCTTTTATTGATGAACCTGTGACAGGTGAGATACTGAACAAGAAAGCAACTCTTTTCTATCAGTGGTATTCACTGGGGTGGAAAGAATAAGATGAGCTCTGTGGGGAAAACCCTGAGGTCAGAAAACCACTTCACTTAAATATCTGGCAGTACATCTCATTTGTCACAATCTGCCTTACCATAGCTTTCACAAATAATCTCTTTGAACTTCCTGCCAGATCTCGCTACTAACTGAAGAAGCTTTATGGACTCCCTTTTGTCCTCCTCTTTCAGTTGGTTGAGCCCAAGTATTTCCAGCAATGTGAGGATACCACCAACTTCCAGGAATTCAATAATGTATCGCTGGCTGAAAAAATGTGGAGAAGAAAGCAACAGATCTAAAGTCTATTTGCAACAAGATTGCATAATATGATTTCAGTTATTATTTCACACTTATTAACAGTTAAGTTTCTTTTCATAGGCAAAGTAATTGGCAGCTCCACTGCTTCTCTTCCTAAACACCACTTTAGTAACCCCTTTACTAAAGCAGCAGAGCTGCCAAGGGAAAGACTTTGCACTTCAGTCATTCACTAAATAGTGTTCCATTCTTTACAGGAATGCAAGCTGATGAACTAAAGCAATTCTAGTTTTCTTACAGGGGAAGAAAACTTTGACCATATTTTCCATATACAGAACTGGGCATAGGTATTCCCAAATCCAACACTTACAACCTGGTATCTCAGCCAAGGAGATTATAGGAATGCTTCATCTAAGAACATTCCCTATGGTTGTTGCTGGAGTAGTTTTTATTCCTGAAGCCATGCCAGTGTGCAAGTTGCATAATTTCATGTTTGATAAAATGGTTATTTAGGCAACAGACAAAGAAGCACCAAGCCACAGAAAGCAGAGCTTTTTATATTTGCCAATCTCTTTGATAATATGATTACATTTTCCCAAACACCACGTTCTCACTACCTCTTTCACAGCAACATAATGTGCTAAAAACCTCAGGATCCTATCCAAATATAGAAATGGTACATTTTTTTACTCACCCACTTGCAGCTGATAGGAAGATGCCAATGGACTTCAATTGTTGCTCTAGGCACGTTCCATACATGTAACTATTGTGAGTTTGTGAAGGCTTTAAATTAAATACATTCTGGCACACTAAACCTCAGCTGAATCTGATTTTCTCCCTACCCACCTCAGCCCTTTTGCAGCAGTTCATACTTTATTTAGAGGAATGACATGTCTGAAGTAGGACTTGCAAGGTCTGTCTGTGAACTTCAGACATTGGGCAATATTGCAGGAAAAGTCAAGAGTCCAGGATTATTAAATTCTGCTACCATAACTGGAGCACAATTGCCCTAAAAATAGCAAAAGTTGGTGCAATTTATACTAATAACTCGTATAAAAATAAATATAATTTATCAAACCAATATGTAGCCAATTCTGGTAATTTTAATGGAGAAATTATTGCTTTCTTTTTTGGCTCTTGTTACACTTTAACAAGAGATCTCCAAGGAAGAGGATACGTCAACCTGAGCCAAGCAGTTAGACGGGCGAGAAACAAACTGGCTCCTTGAGAGAATTCTATTTCCAGTTCTGGACCTGTCTTGCCTTGGTTGGTTAGCATAAAATTTTCTAGAATGTGGCTTCGAGCAATTTTGCCAGCACTGTCCCATTCCTGTAGAAAACTTATTAATCTGCTGATGGCTGCCTGCTCCTTTATGGAAGTCATGACTGGTTGTGTCCTTCTGTTGAGAAGAGAAGAAAACCTTAGACCTATGCATTTGTGAGATCAGAGAATACACCAGCCCCATCTACTTTGACCAGGCATAGGCAAACTCGGCCCTCCAGATGTTTCAGGAGTACAACTCCCATCATCCCTAGCTAACAGGACCAGTGGTGAGGAATGATGGGAGTTGTAGTCTCAAAGCATCTGGAAGGCCGAGTTTGCCTATGCCTGACTTTGGCACTGGCACACCTTGCATCTCACATTAAAATAGTAATTTAAAGCAAGTCACCATGCTTGTTTTAAACCATAGTTTGAACCATATTAAAGCCTAGTTTGTTTTGTCAAGGTACTAACAAGTCTTTCAGTAATGTAGGCTTTAACAAGCAGTGTCATTCTGTAGTTACCAGATTTTGGTATTTGGTGAAGTGGCTGGTTAAAATGGATTCTGTAGGTCGGTCTGAAAGGCAAAATCTCAACAAAGATATCTTGGAAGTTATGTCAGCACTGCCCCACTAATCTTATTTATCCTATAGACAGCACATGAAACTCAAATTTGATTCACATACAAAAATTTGAGGGGTAACATTTACAGAATTGCTATGATAAAGGCAACATTAAATATAAAGAAGAGCTTACCTATCTCATTTTTTTTCTTTACAGCCCCTTCAAAAATGTATAAAGAAGCAGTGCTGAGACATGCATAGGAATCCATCAGGGAATTAACAACCTGTGGTTTGCAGGAGCTTTTGTCCTTGGCAGAGTATTTTCAGCACAGGAGAGAAGGTTCTAAATAAATCAATTTTCCTCAAATAGTTGTGATTGAAAGTGTTATTAGCCATAACAAATGTTAGCACTGACAAGGGAACAGCTGTAGCAGCCTTTCAGAGGAAGAGGTGAAACATGAGCCTCATTCACTTGATTTACAGAATATTTGTGAAATCTTACTCGTGAGCCTTGTAGCTGATATTTGCGTTTTGGCAGAAGTTGTTTTTCATCTTGGGACATTCACTATAAATTATAGCTCCATATTGTGCACCTGTGTCCTCTACACTGATCTAGTTAAAAGAACTTTCCAACTGAAACAATTGCTAGTTTGATTCTAAATTAACATCCCCATATTTTTATGGGGGCATATATTCCCTCCTTTTTCTAGGAAGCAATGAGTCCTTTGCCTGCTAAAGATAAATCTTCATCTACTTGGCTGCAGCACTTGATACACATCAGTCAGTCACAGGGGAGAAGGCTGCATGGCCACATCATGTTCTTATTTGAAGATTCAATGGCACCACCTACTGTGAATATGTTTACCTTTATTCACAGTTGACACAAAGAGATTCAGGCTTCCAAAAAAGGAAAATGCATTTTTAAAGGCACAGCCACAGAGAAGCTCTCAAAAGGTATTATATGTTCCACATCTATCTTCTGCAATCTAGACACATAGGGACTTCAGCCCACAATTGCCTTCTGGATTGAGTTGGAAAAGACTGAGACTGGCACAAGTTTGCCATCTGCACAGATAGGTTCTGGATGTCAGTGAGGTAAAAACATACCTGTTCAAGTGCTGAACTCAGAACATGAGAAATCTGCCATGTGTACATATTGTTAAATGACAAAAGCACTTAATTCTGTAGAAAGTGTTTTCAAGAGCTCTCTCTCTCTCTCACCAGCCTTTTTATTTGTAGACATTTGAATTAGTGTACAAGGATATCTTGAGCCACAAAAAGAAACTGCCTATTTGTCCAAGATGCCAATTGGGTATACATTTTAGTGCTGCCAACACAGCTGCTATGGAGGATTTTAAAAAAGGAAGAGGGGAGACATTGTACTTTCTTTCCATTTCTCCCATATGAAGTCAGGAATATAATACTGCCAGGTTTTAAGTCTATCTTTGGAAAGAAAAACCTACCACAGTACCTGAGTAATTGGGTATCCCTTTGTTTTCCATCTTCTTCCAATATTTGTTTTCTGGCACTTTTACCAAACTAATGAAATCACAAAACTCAGCAGCATAGCAATCCAATGTGAAATCCAGAACAGGAAGCCCACCATGCTTAATTGGCTAACGCATAGTAAATCTAGCAATCCTTGGCTTCTTGCCTTGTCATATAATATTTTTGCCAAGCTGTTAACCACTTTAATGGAACCATAAGCACAATCTGAAACAGATCTAACACTTTAGGAAACACTGCCATTTTAGTGTTGCAGTACATCCCTTAAGAGAGACCTTAACAGCCATTCAAAATATGTACAGCATCCTTAATGTTGAACAGTATAAAAGCAAAACTTCCATTCTTCAGGTCTTGAAGCTTATTTGTAATCTGGAGCCTTAAACACTGCCACTGACCCCACACATTTTCTTTCAATGCAAAATACTATTTCTTTTTTTACCTTGGGTGTTAAAGGGCTGGATTTAACTAAGCAATGGGACTTTCCTTCCTCCCCTCCCCTGTGCACCCCCATCCCCACAAATTAGCTTGGGGAGGTGCCAGGAGAACGCCCAGAACAGCATGGAGAGGAGAGGTATTTCCATCAGGCAAGCAAAAATGTTTGTGCTGATGGAACTTTTGTTTTAGCATGACTTTGAATTCCTTCCACTGTTCCGATTTGTCTAAGGTGATTTAAAGGTTGAATAATACTGTACATTCTTAGGTTATTGAGCAGAGCAGGCAAGAACTGCAGCAGGTTCTTCAAAAACAACCAAGTATTGTCCGTAGGAAGAGCAAACCTGTTTAATCTCTTTCAGAGCAATGGCTACGGACCCCTCACAGAAAAGCAACATGATTTAATGCTCCTTCTCAGTCCAAAGGCCCATACAAAACGTTCCCTGAAATTCATTTTATTTGAAAGCCTTTTAAGGCAATCTTTTTCAAACAATCCAATGTACTGTCCATATCCAGAGAAAAATGATTAGGATTTTGGGCATTTCATGAAACTGAATGATATTCACAACCTGATTATGGGTCATAACCACAGCATTTGATTCATTTAAAGCATAAGGCTTTCGCAAAGAATCTTAGGAACTGTAATTCACTTAAGGGTAAGCTCCAGTTTCCATGATTCTTTGGGAGAAACCATGGCTGTTAAAGTGGTATAAATATGCTTTAAATATAGGATGTGTAAATGTATAAGAGTATAATTAATCCTTCCATTGAGAAATATAGTAAACATTTTCACATTAATATATGAACAGGATTGCCCCAAGGGGCAAAATGCTTTTGGATAACTACTAATATCACCTCCCTACATATATCAGGAGTTTCAACCTTGGGCACCTCAGTATATTGTTAAACAATGGAGTTAAATGTGGTACAAGTTCTTCTGAGAAGTGCTCACAGAATTCTAATGGAAAACTACCAGTCCTTTTAAGCTTTTATATATTCTTTAGTATCAGAAAACAGAAACTTCTAAACACTCAGAATATTGATTATGTTACCTGGCTCCCATCCTTAGTGAAGGAGCCTGTCCCAATAGTATCTTTTGCAATTTGTTAATTTCTAACAACTTAAGCTTTTAAAATTCCTCCACCTTAAAAATATTTCTTATGGGCTTGGTCATATATATCATGTCTCAAAAAGTTATTGAAATTTGTGGGTTTTTCCTATTTCTCATGAGATGTCAAGTTTATAAAGATCCGGGAGGTGTTAATAAATACACATAATCACTAACTATCTATTATATAAACTAAAGATCCAATAGACAGAGTGATCCAACCACGTAGTGGAGTCCAATCTCAGTTTCTCCAATGCTCTATGGAAGCAGAAGTGTACAATCAATATGCCTGATGAATTGTAGGACATGAAGTAAAAAGCACATACGTACTTTAGCCAAAGGACAGTAACTTCTTCATATATCAGGTAGCCTAGTTACCTGAATAAAATCATTTTAGAAGATATCTCTTTCATTTCTCTGTGTTTTCACATCTGGTACATACAATGTTAAAATCTTTCCCAGTAACTAAGGCTGCAATCATAATTTCACTTACCTGGCAGTAAGCTCTGTTGGATTCAATTAACTTACTCTTAAGTAGGAATGGTTAGGAATGCATTCTAACTCTTCTTCCCTGAAAGAACTAATTATATTACAGTACTCCCCAAAGGAGATCCTTTCTGCCTGGTATTAGAATCATCTTAACCCATTCAAAAATAGCCATAATGAAAACAACCCAACCTAGAATCCTTCATAGTGATGTGCTTGACAAAAACAATATACTGTAGGCTCTAGAACCTAAAATTTAGATAAGCTGTGAGATAAAAATTATTGTCCATTGTAGTTCAGATTTGTGATGAGTTTCCTGCAGAAAGACATTAAGGTTCAACTCACCAAGTGTCTGAACTACTCCATCATGCAGTTGTTAAAGTCACAGGAATCCTGCTAGGAAAACAAAACAAAACAAATGATAACTCTGCCAGGGCAAACATAAACAACAAAATGCAAAACTTATTTGCACCCCAAGAAATATGTTCTTGCGGAGTGGGGTGGGGCTTGTTTTCTCCCACTCTGATTTTCTGCTGGAGCTCAGCTTTGGAATTTGAGATGCAGAATAAACGAATAATGCAGCAAAGTGTCCAGTGCCTTTCTCTCCTCGTTAAGAGACCCCCCCCCACTTGTTACCCCACACATTTAATGATTTAGGAACAGCAGTTTCCTAAACAGATTAAAATGCTTCCAGGCTTGAATCCTAGCTTCTCAATTCGTAGTCTCTGCCCATCAGTCTCGAAGCCTTCGCGATTCCCTACACACCCCTCGTTCTGCTCTTGCCATATACAGACTGCTCTAGCCTCCACTGCTCATTCTTTCCTGGGCTGCTTCAAAACTTTCAGCGGGGACCCACTGGCAAACCTGTCAGCGAGGAAGCCCAGCTCGGTTTTGTTTTGTTTTTGACGAAAACGGGCAGTGTGTGTGTGTGTATATTTATACTGTATATGCAAAGGGGTGGCCGCTCGGTTGCTAAGGCCGCTGCGTTGCTAAGCAGCATCCCGGTTACCGGCGAAGTGGGGGTCACGGAGCGGCCGCGCGCGCTCTCGCCTGCTCCTCCTGATTCGTCAGGCGAGTCGAATTGGGCGGGCATTTCCGGCGGGGCTGAGGCGGAAGCGGCAGTTCTGAGGTAGCCGCCGTAGGGATGGGGTCGAAGGAGTTGGGGTGCGTAGTGGAGCTGCCCCCGACCCCGCGGGAGAGAAATGCTGGTGAGTGTGTGAGGGTTTGGGAGGCTTCGCTGGTACGGCACTCGCGGAGCGGCCGTTGGAGAGGAAAAGGAAGGTCCGACCGACGTGCTGAAGGTGGAAACTGGAAATAGGCGAGGGCTGTCTTCGTGGGGTCGGGTTGTTTTTTTTAAGAGTTTGATTTTAGGCAGCGTTCCCTTTGGCTTGGCCCTGAAATCTGCTTCCGTTGCTGAGGTACTTCGACTTTGGAAGTATGAATTAATCGCAAATAAGCGGCGCGCACGCGCACATCTTACCCAGGAATCTGACAAGTGCAAGGATGTTCTGCGGAGGCGGCTGCAGCTCCCAAAAGTTTGCGTGTCTGGTGGCACAGTAGTCCTTTCGTTAAGACTAAGGCAGACATTTAATCTTCCTTTCTTTTTTTCAGAGTCCGGTGCTGCAAAGAGAAGTAAAGGCAATCTGCCCGTGGTGATACTGCTTGGGTGGGCTGGCTGCAAGGATAGGTACCTGCAGAAATACAGCACCATCTACCTTCAGGAGGTGAGTAGTGAACTTACTTGACTGCAGTTATTGCAGTGTTCTTCAGAGAAAGAACAATTCGTGGCCAACCCAGAGATACATCAAGAACACTTGGATGGATTGTACTTTGGGTGGCATGTGGCACACCTGAACATTGTGTATAAAAGAACTACTCAAAAAGTGAAAATTCTAGGGTGAGAATTTCCTGACCTGATCATTCCCAGGACTTGCATAGAGTAGACCAGTGTTTCCCAACCTTTTTTGGGCAAAGGCACACTTGTTTCATGAAAAAAATCTCGAGGCACACCACCATTACAGCCCCGTGATGTCAGCGCGCAGCGTCACGCCGGGAGGGACATGAATTGCTAGCAAATTACATAATCACCTCCTTGAGGGCTGGCTCATCTTCTCCGAAGGCAGAACCCCATTAATTAACAGCACAGACTCACACCATAGCCAAGACGAGGGGGGAAAACCTCAGCCATGCACAGTCATGCACATGTGGGGGCTAAATGAGGACGAAGACCGGGCAGAGAGCAGGGTTCAAATCACCCCACCTGGCCAGGACAATCCCTGGGTGCTCCCTTGGGCCACTCGCCTGACCCACCTCGCAGGGCTGTTGTTGCGAGGATAACACGGGGAGAACCACGCGCACCCCCGGGAGCTCCTTGGAGGAGAAAGCGGGCGATGAATGCAATGCACAAAATATATGAGAGGCGACCAGGTTTTGCAGGTGAGGGGCCCCCGCCAGCCTCCGCTTCCAACACCTGGCGCAACGACGCCGAAGTTTCCCCCGGGCTCGGCTCGGGGAGCAGCGCTGCTCCCCCCCGGCTCCCCTTCGCCCTCCCGGCTCTCTCTGCCGCCCACTGGGGACCCTCCTCACCTGCCAAGTCCGGAGCGCCGGTGGAAGTTGCATGCATGCATGCAGGGCACCGCGTTGCCATTGCATTGCACTGCACTCCATGCAACGCCTGCACGCATGCATTGCCTTGCACGCCCGCCAAGGGGTCTCCCCGCGGTCCGATGCGTCCCCTCCGGCGCAGATGCAGCATTGCAAAAATAAAAAACCCCCGACGCAGCCCTACCTGGGGGGCAGCCTCCGCCCGCTCCGCCTCTGCGGGGATCCCCGGGCTCCATCCTGCCGCCCGATCTCCGGGGGGCGCAGGCAGGCTGCGCGGGGTCTGCGCGGAAGAGCCCCTGCCCGCCCGGCCGCCACCGCTGCGCTCATTCCATGGCCGGGAGAAGAGCGCTTCAAACAAAACGCCCGGCCCGCCAGGCCACGCTGGGAAACGTAGTTCGCGCACCCCGCGCGGGCGAGGGGACTACGGATCCCGGCAGCCCCCGCGCCGGGGACGGAGGGGGAGAGGCCGGGTGCAGGGATGGAAGGACGGGTGGGCGAGCGAGTGAGTGAGTGGCAGCCGCCAAGCCTTGGCCGAGAGCCAGGAAGGGCCTCCCCGGAGGAGGAGGAGGGAGGCGCAGAGCGGGAGGGAGGGAGGGAACCCCAGGGGTCATCTAGTGACGGCGCCCCAATCGAAAATTTGACTTTAAAAAAAAAAATCTTTCAATTTTTTAATTTTTCCCGCGGCACACTAGTGTGCCGCGGAACAGTGGTTGGGAAACACTGGAGTAGACTCTAGTGCCAAGTGAAAATGTTTCTCTTCAACCAGGCGTTTGGCTGATTAACATTCTATGGCTTTTAAAATGTGTTTGGGGGGGGTTATTGGTTTGTTTTTGTTTTATTGTGTATTTTGTATTTTTCTGTTGCGAACTGCCCTGCAATCTTCAGATGAAGGGAGGTATACAAATTACATACATACATAATAAGTCGCAGAGAGTAGCTTGACTGATTTGAAAGTTGAATTTTCTATATGGCCTGATTGAAATCTTTTTCAACTCTTTTATGTTAACGGAAAGCTTGGGAATATTTGAAGTGTTTAGTTTTGGTAGCAACTTTAGCTTAAGAAGTTTGCTTGGCATCCTCTTTAAAATGTATTCTAGGGGACATTCAAAAGCCTACTATTTTGTGTTTATTGCCTAGCTCTTCAAAGATTCTGAAAATTAACCGAGGTCCTGTCTGATGTTCACTTGATTTCTTTCCAATGATAGATGTTTTAGACTGAAATGTTCCCTTGTTAAAGGCAGGGAGACTGAGCAGTTGTCTCTCTCCCCCTGTTGTTATAGCCATTTTGGCTATAATGGTTTCCTTTCCACTCTCTTGCTCAAACACTGGTATAAAACACGCTATAAGCATGTCAGCTGACAAGTATGGGATTTGTGGCTGGAGTTAAGGTTTTTTTGGATGAGTCACTGACTTGAAATGAAAGAGCTTCATTTGCCCATCACTGTAGTCCACTGCAGATAATTTAGTTTGTTACTCAGTCCTCAGGACTCACCCTTTGCAATAACCTAACATGTGCCTAATTGCTAGTCTATATAGGAGTATTGCTTTTAAGATGTTTCCATTTCCTGGAGTGAAAATTGAGAGCAGTTCTCAAATATGCAGTATATGAATATTTCTCTTGGCACACCTTGTCCAATTCTTGTTCTTTTTACTGTATGGCACACACTAAAACTTGTGTATTCCTCACAGGGATGTGTAGTGATCCGCTATACGGCTCCTTGGAGATTGATTTTCTTTTCAGAATCCTTGGGTATAAATTCCTTGCAGAACTTGGCAAAGAAGCTGCTGGAGCTCCTCTTTGACTACAAAGTAGAGACGAAGCCCCTGCTCTTTCATGTCTTCAGCAATGGAGGTGTCATGCTGTACCGCTACATTGTGGAGCTTCTTCACACTCACCAGCAGTTCCAGCATCTAAGGGTGGTGGGTACTGTGTTTGACAGTGCTCCTGGCAGGAAGAATCTGCGGGGTGCGCTTGGTGCCCTCTCAGTTGTCCTATCGTCATACAATGTATGTGTTAAGTATGCCCTTTTACTGACATTTGCAGTTCTGGTGGTGACATGGCGGATGGTACTGTATCCTGTGACCCGCTTTGTACATGAGAGCCACTATGATGCCATGTCGAAGCAACTCTCTAGATGGCCTGAGCTATACCTCTACTCCAAGGTGGATTCTGTTATTCAAGCAAGTGATGTGGAGAATATGATAGAGGCTCGGAAGCAGCATCAGGTCCTTGTTAAGGCTGTGGACTTTGTGGACACTGATCACGTCAGCCACCTGCGAGCATATCCCACCTTATACACAACTCATTGCACCTCCTTTATGTACAATTGCATTGGGAGCACTTAGGCTCACTTGGTGGCTGATGTGAAGGTATTAGTATCTGCCTGTTCTCCCACTAATATTATACTCTAGTCTAAACCGTTCATCATTGCTTTTGATAAAATTCTGTATTTCTCTGAACCTGAATGTCTGAAATTGTCATATAGCTGAGTAGCAGAGAGTGGGACTGTAGGATAAATATTTTGCAATATATTCATTCTTCTTGACTTTGGCTCATGGGCTTTGGAAAGTACTCTAATAGGCTGTGTGTTATCTGTGCATTTAAACATGCACAATTGTGAGCTAAGAAAAACAAAATTCTGCAACTTTTATTTAAGTATACACATTTGCATACACTCATTTGGTATACAGTGTATACAGTGGACCCTCTGGATACGAACTTAATTCGTTCTGGGGGTCCTTATGTACCCCGAAAAGTCCGCAACATGAGGCGCCGCTTCTGCGCACATGCACAGTGCAATAGAGCACTTCTGTGTGCAGTGTGCAGAGCACTTCTGTGCATGCATGAAGTGCGTAGAGCATTTTTGTGCATGCGCGTGCAGCGGGTTTGCAACCCAAAAGTTACGTTACCTGAAGGTAACGTAACCCAAGGGTCCACTGTATTTTATCCTGCTTCTCCTGATCGTGGGGAACAAGGACCTGTACTGGGTGCTGAAGCCCGTCCCTAACTATTTGAAATCTTATATAGCTTCCTGTTTGGTTTCTGAGATTTTAGTAAGCACTGGCTCTCAAATGTACCTGTGGCTGATATTAAATTCTGTGTTTTTGATGTATGTAGAATTTAAATGTAAAACCCTGCCGATGTTCATTTCATCTTTCCATCAACTTCTTCCACCTCTTCAAGGTTTCACCTTGTGAAGCAAAATCAGTTCCTTTCTGTGCTGCTGTATACAACTCTGCAGTTAGTTGATCCACCACCATCTCTGGGCTGCTTTTCTCCCTCTTATACTTGCCTTGTGGCCAAGTACTTTTTAGCTGAGGACAGGAGGAGGCTTCTTGTGAGTTAAAGCCAGGCTAGTGACTTCATATTATCAACTAAGCTATAAACTATAGCACAGAATTAAAAGGACATATCTAAAGTTGTGCATATCTCTTTTCTGGATCTGTCTTCTGCATTGCATTTATGAAATCACACTCTTTTATTCCATATTGATCCAGGAAAACTTGCTATAACTTTGGTAACAGTACGGAGGAGGGGTGGTGAAACATTCTTTGCTGTCTTGTCTTGTGAGTACAGAGGTGGCTAGAAAGTTTTCTAGTATCTAATCCATTTTACATTAATTTGATCATGTGTCCATTGTTGAAATTCTTAAAATAGTGAAGGGTATTCACTGAAGTTCTAGCCGAGCTGCTGTAGCTAATTACTATGTTTCAAATGGGTGGGTTTACCCATCTTGCTGTCAGTTTCCATGTGTCTCCCCTATCAATGGGTCAATAGCTCAGGGTATTTTGCCCCCAGTTCATAACTGTGTACTGGGGAAATAACTGGAGAGGAAAACATGTTGCTGTTTGATATGTACTAAAGTGTTAAGATGATAACAAGCTAGGTGACTCAGAAATAATAGGTGATTAGATCTAAACCTTTAGTGAGACTCCTGAAGAATAAGGGTTTTAAAGCCTTAAATATAAATAGTCCCTCAGTTGCCCTAGCTGCAGATGTGGTATTAGGAGATTTTAAGGCTTCTCTCAAATAGATTTTACAGGTAGTGCATTCATACTTTATCTGTTAATAACAAAAACCCTATATTGCCACCTTTGTTGAATGCAATTCATTTTACTGCTGCTTTCCCACAATATTGTCACAGAGTGGAAGAACTGAGCTGTTTGCACACGTATAGAAAAAGAGACTGAAATCTAATTCCAGGAATCACACTGTAGCCTTTAATTAAAAATATGGCTTTCTAATGTTTGCAGATGCATTTATGCTGAATAATACAAAATGGGCATCATGGTGTTGTGTTTTAATGTCTTATTCGTTCTGATACACTGGATGTCAGATTTGGACTTCAACCAGATGGACTTTAGTTCATGTGCTTACAGAGCAAACCAGTTCATTTTTTGCCCTGAAATAGGAGTTAAGTCCTGTTGAAGTTACTAAGATTGAAGTTACTAGGATTGTAGCCTCAACTGTGAAAATCTCTGTGTAACTTTGGGCCAGTCACAACATTTTTGTCTAACCTACCTCACAGGGTTGTTGTGAGGACAGAATAAGATAACTTATGAAGATCTTTCTAAATTGTATTATAGGACAAATTGTGCCGTGTTGCAGAGAAATTTGGGCTGGATCATTTTATATGATACATAATGGGTGCGTCCTACTTTTTTTGTTATTATCGAGCCTATGGCGGTCTGTGCTGTTTGCATTGACAGTTGCTTTCACTTGAACTTCTGCGAGCTTTCCACAGCTTGAGTGAGTTTGTTTAAATTTAAACATTTATATTCCACTTTTCATTTTCCAAAGGATAGCAATAAAAAACCTTGAAAATATCACAGTGAATAAAAATAAAAACCAAATCAGATAGCAGCAGGCTATCTTCTAGACCAGGGGTCTGCAACCTTTAAGACAAAAAGAGCCACTTGGACCCGTTTCTGAAGAAAAAAAAACTGGGAGCCGCAAAACTCGTCATTATAAAAATAACTTTTTTGTCACTTTTTTAATTATTTCTTTGTTTGACCCCTCAGAATTACTCCTCCTCATAGAAATAAATTAACAAATTACCTTCTTTTGTGTGTGTGTGTTCTTCACTTCCCTTCAAAACAGTGACCAGCGTACATGCCCCCTTTCAATGCAGTGACCAGCGTACATGCCCCTTACAATGTAGCGGGCGGGCGGGTGGGAAGGAAGGTGACGTCGGGAAGGTGCATGACTAACGCACGCACCGCCCCCATGTGACGTCACAGCTAGTACAGCGCCCGCCACAGTGGGGAGTGTCGGGGCGCACAATGCGCCTCCTCCCCTCGCTAGTATTTGCCCCGGAGCTGCGGCAAAGGTGTAAAAGAGCCACATGCGGCTCCAGAGCCGCGGGTTGCCGACGCCTGTTCTAGACTGTGTAAAACTGAAAGCAGCACTGATAAAAACAAAACACTACGTAAGCAGCAATTAAGCTAATTCCTGCAAAGGTTGTTGTTGTTTAGTTATTCCATTAGTTTGTTGTTTTATAAAAAAGGCATATCAAAGGAACTTAACAAGAATATAAAATATAAATATATAATATAAAAATAAAAAGAAGGTGCAAAAAGAACCCCCCCTAAAGTTCTCATTCACAAATACAATAAAAAGGATAAATCTTGTTTACCTAACTAAAAGATGAGCACTACAGTGGAGGCTAAATTCATACACAAGTATTATCTCAAAAACTCGAAAGCCTATGGAAATAAAACTGTCTCAGCTGGGTTCCTAAAAACTGACAGTGACGGTGCCAAGTGTTTCCCTGAGGAGTTAATAACACAAACAGGACTTCTGAAAAGAATAATATTGTGTTGCTACTCTCCTCACCACCCCATCACCTCAGGTGTGTCATCTGTGAAATTGACTAAAATAGATTAGTAACTTGCAATAATCTTTGGCTTTTAGTGGTGGCCTTTGTGTAGGTTCTACCACCTGAGACCAGAAGTAAGGGCTCTGAATGGCTGCTTAAGGATGCCGATGGAGATGTTGGCTTTAGGTCCCGGTTTCCCTCCCTGATAAAAATCCTTTTTTCTTTGTAGAAGGAATTTCTCCAGCTGTTGTAGCATAGATTTTTGGAAGTAAAGGAGGAAAGTATGACCTGCTGCTCTCTAGTGGTTCTAAGTCAAAACAGCAAAAGGGTCAGGATTCCTTTTTTTATAGCATCAGAGTGCCTTTGATTAAACTATTAAGCTTTTCATAACAGCAGCTAAGCTTCATTTGCTCATCTAACAGTTGCATTGTTTCTCCTTTGCATTTGAACTATTTTGACTTGCATAGATAATAAAGCAGCCATTTATCAGCAATGTAGGAAGAGAATTGTTTGTACACTTAAGAAGAGGAAAGTCCATATTCAGTTTTTCTGCCCAGTATTTTGTCTCTAGGTATGCTTCAGTGGAGTACATGAGAATCATAATTTTCATTGCAGATGGATCAGTTTAGAAGCTGATATTTGATGTCCTCTCATTGATCAGTCATATTTTTCAACACCAGTACATATGTAATTAGGTAAATAATTTTTCAAGGTGGCATCCGACTAAACAGTTCACAAGGACTTTTAGCTACCCGATGGAACTTCACTCTTCAATCTCCCGAAGGTTTGAGGGTATCCCCAGAATAGTCTTAGAGGTTTTGCAGGAGAGTAGAAGGGAAATTTTATTGCACAGCTAAAAGTCCTTGCAGAACTGTTTAGTTGTACAGATTGCCTATATGCACAATATCTTTGTCAGACTCTAAAAAGATAAATTATAGTACAAAACTGACATGTTAGTCTGTGTAAATGGGAATGGAACTCTGCACCTGGTGCAGTAAATTCTAGGTTTGTGCGCTGAACACTAGGTACCATTTGGATTCTGCTTTGGAAAGTAGGCTGATGCAGCTTGGATTACTTTGGAAGAGAGCAACTTCACATTGTGTCTGCAACAGAACCCCATTTAAGAAAATTCATTTCATGTTTCCTCATTTGCCTGTTATATCAATTTGTTGTTATAAAGCTGAGGAAAAAACCTTGTACTGGTGTGGGAGAGGCATTCAGTCGTAAGAAGCAGGGTGGTCCAGAAACTTTGGAAGGTATTGGAGCAGCAATTAAAGCAGGGGTACAGGACACTTATCCCTCTAGATGTTGCTGAACTATAACTGTTGGTCCCAGCAAGCATGGACAATGGCCAAAGGTTCCCCACACCTGTGTTAAAGCCTGAAAAGAATTACATTCTTAGACAATGAGCATTATATAGAACTGGGAACACACACAGGGGGAAATTAAACAGTCAATGTAGTCTTGATTCTTGTTTTCAGGAGCTGAATTAAATTCTGAAGATGGAATAAGCACCAACTAAGGGATTGGTTCTACTGGATAGAATCCAGAAGGGACTTACAAGTGATTAAATCATCTAAATGTTTCCTGTATTTCCCTCTGCTGAAAACAAAGCATTTCAGACCCAGTTCCTTGCCTATATTTCTGCCTGTACCATTAAGATCTGCCTTTATTGAGTTGCAGTTTCAAATGTTGGGTAGTCATTACCACAGTATTCCATACGCAGATAGACCATGTATATGCGGGCAATCACAATTAGAAGATACTCATTTTTAAATGTTATATTGCCCCTTACACACAGACCCAAGGAGTCACTTTCTAAAATCCTTGTTTGTTCAAGGAAGCAGTCTTCCCCTGATGGAGTGGGTTCACTGGTTACTGAGTGACTGCAATGCATTAGTGACTCATAAAGTGGCCCTTTTTGTGTTGGCGGCAAGGAAGATTAGGAAGAAAGAATCGGACAAAATAGCTGTGAACTGTAATGGGGATTCAGAGGTCTAAATCTGAATACACTTTGTGTAGTAGCGGAGTGCTCCCTGATTATAGTCTTGCTAGGAATTGATGGTTCTGTTTGTTTTAGCAGATGCCTTGATTTATGTTTTGTATTTGAAACTGCCTGTGTTCCCATGTTATTGTCATGGCCTTTGGCTAGCACAATAAACCTACAGAACTGAGGAAAGAGCTTAGGAAGATCTTAATGCAGCACCTTTATGCTGTCCACTTGTTCCTCTTCCCTTGCCCCCAAACCTAGCAATGGTTGTTGTACTGGGTTTATATAGCACTTGAATTGTGTGAAACACCTTAAGGGACATGTTATGTTGGGGGATAGTAGCCCCAGAGAAATGTGCTTCAAGAGATCATATCACTCATAACGCTATTTCCTAAACCCTGAATGTGAAGGCAGAAAAGGGCAACCAAAATGATCAGGGATGAGGAAAGACTAAAATGTTTGGGACTTCTGTGCTTTTTTGTTTTTGTTTTTTAAAGAGAGGTCTTCACAAAAATAATGTTCAGATAGTGGATATGGTTTAAGTAGAATACTAGAACTCATAGTCGTCTAGTGAAATTGATCACTAGATTCAGGATAGACAAAAGAAAATACTGTTTCTAATGGATGCATAATTACAGTAATGCAATTTACAGGATGCAGGGATGGCACTAGTTTGGATGAATTTAAAGGGGAACTGGAGAAATTCATGCAGGATAGATCTATCATAGACTATTAGTCATCATGTTTTTTTTAAGCTCCATATTCAGAGGCAGTGAATGCTGGTTGCTGGGGAGCAATGACAAGAGAGGGCTGTTGCCTTTATGCCCTACTTGTGGGCTTCCTAGAGGTATCCGGTTGTGCCACTGGGGGAAAAAAAGATGCTAGACTAGATGAACCTTTGGTCTGATCCAGTAGAGCTTTTTATGTTTTATGAGGTCTACTCCAGGTTCTTTTATTTTGTGTTGTTATTAGACATAGAACGCAAACTAGTCAGTGCGCTGTTTCAAGGGTTACTAGTGAACTTGCAAGCCACTCTAGGTACCCTTTTGGCTATGGAGTGAAATAAAAGTGCTGGCCACAGAACATACATTTCAGGGAGAGAATATAATTGTGTGATCAAGGTTGGCATGGAATGACATAAACGTTTGTGATATTGCACAGCAACTTTGGTTAGGAAGAGTATTGTCATTCCCCAGTAAATAATCAAGGTAGAGTGGTACAAGGTAAAAGAAATTGTGGATGGGAGATTTTTTTGTTATGAATTCAGGGGTACCATACTCTCCTAAATTCCTAGATCCAGTAACTCTTAGAATTTAATGAATTTTTGCAGTACAGTGGTACCTCGGGTTACAGACGCTTCAGGTTACAGACTCCGCTAACCCAGAAATAGCACCTCGGGTTAAGAACTTTGCTTCAGGCTGAGAACAGAAATCATGCAGTGGCAGCACAGGAGCAACGGGAGGCCCCATTAGCTAAAGTGGTATCTCAGGTTAAGAACAGATTCAGGTTAAGAATGGACCTCCAGAACGAATTAAGTTCTTAACCCGAGATACCACTGTATTAAACTGGATAGAAGGCACTGAACTCCTGGATTCAGATTATATTTTATGATAACCAGGCCAGTCTCCTCGTGAGTTAATCACCTGGGAAACTAACCATTAACCAAGAACAAAGGGAAAGTAATGGTCAAGGAGAGGAGGCCTTGTGCCAGACGCTTTTGAGAGGGGGCCATCCTTCAGCTCTGAGTTAGGTAGTTAGAAAGACAAAGGCCA